TATCCTTACGTTGTACAATTAGAGCAGGAATATCTTAATTACAATGAAAATCCCGTCTTTTCTCAGTGGATTTAATCACGAGTTGGGACAGTTTGGCTCTAGATATCTCAGTCTCCCCTGCTTTGGTCCCCCTTTTCTGAGATCCACCATGAGAGGTACAGGCTGGCCATAGGATGGTTACCTGTTCGTGGCAGTTTCTGAGTGCCCAGAGCTGCCCTGAAAGGTTGAATTTCTCTCTGAGACACTAGAGCCAGTATGGTTTGGACACTCTGATCATCTCATAAAAAAACAAGCAAACAAGAAACCAAAGGTATTCCATTTCAGTGCCTGTAGACCATGCGTACTCAGGGCCTGCTGCGGTTTCTGTTCTCCTTGACATGCATCTAGCTGAAAGCTGCTGACATTATACATGAGAGTATATGCAGTACCAATTTCTCTCCTTCCTCTTATTCTTTCTTTTCTATTTTTTTCTTCAAAAAAAAAATCAACTGCTTTCTTGCCTTGAGATGTAAATTCCACATTGTGGTGCATTGGAGTTCAGTTTTCTGAGAAAAAGCTTAAGTTTATTAGGTGGGTTCACAGTGTTCTCATAGAAAACTTTACTCTGAGGCATGGAGCCATATGTGGTTAGGATTGTTTTAAGATAAAGAATGTAAGAGGATCAACATTACACTGTTTACAGAAATGTGGGCTGTGCCTATTGCTTAAATAATTATCGCACCTGATTTACAAGCATGGTCCAGGATAGGGTGGAAGGTCCAACTGGCTTTCCTGGCGCCTCTGAGTCAGTGCCAAATCAGAGGGGCACTGCGGGGGCTGAGGAACCAGCTATGATTGGGAAGTGTTCTCCATCACCCTTCAAGGATCTGGCTTCTCAACAACATTAAAGAGTAGAAAGTGACTGGCAGGTTGGATCACAAACAGACTGTTGCATGAGATTGACTCCTAGCAGTGAGGGGAGGCTTGGTTTGGTTATATCGCTGGTTATAGTCACATTTTCTGTATTTACTCTAAAGAGGGAAACAAAACATGATTTTGAAAATAAAAATCATGCTTTTTCAGTGTCGAACTTGGATACATTTATGATTTTATATATTGTGTGTATATATATGCGAAATCTGTAGCTACACACACACATAATGAGCACATGTATAAACACGTATATAGACACTGATGTAAATGTAAACTGCTGGCGGCAGAAGGCAATGTATCACAGTTCACTGCAGAACATTGATTTCCAGATGTTTGGATTTCATGAACTAGGAATAAAAAAAAGAAAAAAAAAAAAAAAGAAATGGGCACATGCCCAGATTGCAGGCTCGATCCCCAGTAAAAAGCATGCAGGAGGCAGCCAATCAATGATTCTCTCTCATCGTTGATGTTTCTATCTCTCTCTCCCTTCCTCTTATTCTTTTCTATTTGTTGCTTAAAAAAAAAAATCAACTGCTTTCTTGCCAACTTCATGTTTTCCAAGATCATTAAAACATTTTTTTGGGGTGCTGGATGTTAACTAGACTTATTGTGGTGATCATTTCACAAAACAGTTGACCCCTGAACAACACAGGTTTGAACTGCATTGGTCAAACATATGTAGATTTTTTTTCAATACACACTATAAATGTATTTTCTCTTCTTTATGATTTTTTCATAACATTTTCTTTTCTCTGGCTTACTTTATTATAAGAATTTAGTATATAATACACATTCATACAAAATATGTGTTAATTGATGATTTATATTATCAGTAAGGCTATTAGTAATTAAATTTTGGAGAGTCAAGTTATACATGGATTTTTGATTGCACGGTGAGGGTGTATATGTGTGTGTCAGGGCCCCTAATCCCTGCATTGTTCAAAGGTCAACTGTGATACAAATACTGAATCATTATTTTGTGTACCTGAAACTAATGTTATATGTCAATTATATCTTAATCAAATATTTAATTTAATTAATTAATTTATTTAAAGAGAATGCATTTTTAAAAATATAGTATATTTCTTTATTGATTTCAGGGAGGAAGAGAGAAGGAGAGAGAGATAGAAACATCAATAATGAGAGAGAATCATTGATTGGCTGCCTCCTGCATGCCCCCTACTGGGGATTGAGCCTCCAACCCCAGGCATATGCCTTTGGCCGGAATCGAACCTGGGACCCTTTAGTCTGCAGGCTGACGCCCTATCCACTGAGCTAAGCTGGCTAGGGCTTAATCAAATTTTTTACATAAAATTTGTATTTCATGTAAAAAGCACATATCATTAAATTTACCATTCCTAATAACCATTTATTTATTTATTTTAAAAATATATTTTTATTGATTTTAGAGAGGAAGAGAGAGGGAGAGAGAGATAGAAACATCAATGATGAGAGAGAATCATTGATTGGCTGCCTCCTGCATGCTTTTTACTGGGGATTGAGCCTGCAATCTGGGCATCTAACCCAGACTGGAATCTAACCATGACCTCCTGATTCATAGGTCAATGCTCACCACTGAACAACACTGGCCAGGCCCTAATAACCATTTTTAAGTTTTACAGTTGAACAGTGTTAAGTACATTCACATTGTGCAGTTCAGGATCATTTTGGAAGAGAGAAAGAGAGACTCCCATCTACTATCCTCATCCTATATAATAAAAGCCTAATATGCAAATTGACCAAACGGCAGAATGACTGGTCTCTATGATGCGCACTGACCACCAGGGGCAGATACTCAATTCAGGAGCTGCCCCCAGCCCTCAGGCCCCAGGCCAGCCAAGGTGGGTGCCAGTGAGGGGCTTCCTAATCGCCCAGCTGGTCGCCCCACAGATCGACCCTGATCACTGGCCAGGCTTAGGGACCCTACCCATGCACGAATTTTGTGCACTGGGCCTCTAGTCATTTCATAAAAGAAAGAGCAGTTTAACATCAAAAGGGAAACAAGGAAGGCTGTCATCTTAGCTGCAAGAAGTTCCTCCCTAACCTGTGGTAGAATAGTACAGAGAATCATAATCATCCAGGGAAAAGAAATAGTACAGAGAACAACATAGTCAGGAATTCTGTACAACCATTACTCTGATTTTTAAAATGGCTAGCCTTCTGTCATCCTTGCTCCAGGTCTTTCCTGCTTGAAGTGACTGCACATGAACTGTTTGTTACCAGGCCATGGTGAGACAAAAGCTTTCACTAGAATGAAATGAGCCATACCACTAAGCACACAGTCTGGTAGCTGATACTTTTTCACAGCAAGTTTTTATTGAGGAAGGAAGCTGTGTGTTGGTTTACATCCTGGCACGAGTATCTTATCATCAGTGGTCCAAGTACCAATAGCAAGCAGTTCATGTAGTGGCTCTGGTCAGCAGCCCTGTCCTAGATCTGGTTGTGTTTTTATAGAAGTGAAAGTTAACACTTGAAGCCCATATATATTCATTCCACTATGATCCCATTCTCTTCTCTTTCTCTCCAGAGTTAACTAATGTACTGAAGTTGGTTTGTATTCTCCAGTCCATACTGGATCTGCATGAGCCCAGTAGAATACATAGTGTTGTTTTGTGTAAATGGAATCCTGCTTTATACAGCTTTCTGAAATTTAATTTAGTTCACATAACATGATTTTAAAGACTTACCTATTCTGATACATGTAGAACTGCTTTACACTTTTGCTTCTTGTGACTATACCACATTGTATTTATTTATCCTCCTGTCAGTGGACATTGGTGTTATTTCTAGGTTTTTGCTAATACAGACAACACTGCAGTGTACATTCCTATAAGCCTTTCCTGCCCATGCGAGTGTGAATTTATCTAGGAGAGTTACCTTAAAGGAGAGTTGGTAGGTCAAAGGTGAAGTGATGTCTCCATTCACAAATTCTAGTTAGCGTGTTAACCAATCTAGTTGTTTAGTACCCAGCTTTCCAGATCAACAAGGAATGGGAAAGATAACATCCCACGTTAGCTATCCATAAATATGGTTTTTCTGGACCAAATTGAGAGCTTCTGATTGTTGATCTACCTAACGATCTAGCTCAAAGTCTGTCTGTAATATAGAGATGATCTGGTGGCTTGGTCACAGTGACTTTTCTTTGTCTTTGGAGATGGAGCAGGAACCAGTTGAGAAAAGCCAGCCCTGTATTGTTTCCTCCTTTCCATGTGAACCAGAAAATGTTTGCAGTTGTGGTCTGGGAGGCAGATGGAACTGGGTGTTGCTGTCCCTTGGACTGTTACAGATGATTTTTTTGGTCCAAGAAAATTCCATGGGTCAAAACTTGGCCAGTCTTCTCGGCAAGTGTCTCAGCAGGCCTTTCGGGAGTGGCTGTCCTGTTGCTCAGACTGTCAGATGATCTAAGTTTCTTTTGATCATCTAGTCTGTGGTTTCTTTGGACAGTTTGGGGAGATAGCCAGGGGAGAAGTAGACTCAGGATCCTTTGGGGTTGGATGTTGCAGGCATGTCCCCAGATGGTCTGGAGGACATCTGAGAGGGTTCCCATGGACAGTGTCCCTGTGTAGCCACCACCAGCCTGGTAGGAGCACGTGGAGTTTTGGCTGTGGATGAGTCAAGTGCAGTCTTAAAGAACAAAAATGATGTCTGAATAATGTACTTTATTCACAGCCTCTCTCTTATCTTTAGCATATAGTGGAGTGTTTTGATCACTCTTTAAAAAACAGTAAATGGGAAGACAACTTGGTAAGAAAAAAACTATAGCGACATCAAAGAAAAAAATACGACTAAGAGCCTTTTCATTTGTAGGGCTCCTGTTGATTGACTTTTCTCAAATACCACATGACAAGTTGAGTTATGGGGGGAATCTGAGAGGGATCACACGGATGGCTAATCTGTGTTAATGATGCAGGTACCTGACTGATAAACATTTGTGTATAATTCGGCACATGGGAAACCACTGTGGTCACCAGGTTATCCGATAAAAGCTTTTTCAGTGGTTGCTATTTGTGAAGTAATTGGTGTTTTGGATATTTAGGCACATGTTTATATCTGTAAAATAATTTTTTTTTTTTACTTTTGATAATCAGCTGTCAAAGCTGGAAAAACAACAGCAGAGGAAAGAAAAGACCAGAGCCAAAGGGCCTTCTGAATCAAGCAAAGAACGAAACGCTCCTCGCAAAGAAGACCGCAGTGCCAGCAGTGGGGCCGAGGGAGACGTGTCCTCTGAGCGGGAACCATAGGCTGCCGGATGGAGCTCAGGTAGGAGGGTCTCCTCCCTGCAGGCCTCCATCCTACCACATTTTGGGCAAACAACAATGAATAGAGAACAGAATGACTCTTGAGGTCGGATTCATTTCATGGACATTTAACTAGAGCTCTCTTAAATCCACTGACTTTGAGGATGGAGAGAAAAGTTGAAATGCAGGAGAGTCAGGTACCCATGGCCTGGGGTGTTCACCTAGGAGGTTGTGTGTGTGTTACCTTCCTCAGTTGCCTATGACAGTTGACAACTGCTGCTGCTATTAGCATTTCTAGAATGTTCACAGATCCAGCAGCTAGAGCTTCACATGAGCTCTCGACATTGGCCCCTCCTTTCCATTCTTGCATTCGGCAGCTTCAGCAGAGACCGTTGTCATCTGCAGCAGCCTCCTCCTGTAATTTCCAGCCCAATGTTGCGCCATCCTCCCCTCCATCCCGCATGGCATTGCTAGTTTACTTTTACTAAAACGGGTGTTTATTCTCATCACTTCCATGCCCAGGAACACGTCTCAGTCCACGCAGTGATTTGACATGAACTCCACTTCCCTGCTTGAAGATCAGAGGCCTCTAAAACTTGATCCAGCCATCTGCTGGCCCTTTGCTTAAGTTCATTCCCTAGTGAACACTTTATCAAGAGCCTCTTTCTTGTCTGAGTTCTCAAGATCGGGGAGAAGCACAGAAGTAATTATGCTGCAGCAGGGTGCATTGTGGTGGTGGTGGTGGGATGTGGGGTGGGGTGGAGAGCGGAGTCGGGAGGCTCCATGGAGGGGAGAACTCTGGAACTGGACATGTAGAAATGGGGAAATGAGGGACGAGGGCAGAGAGCTGCCTAAGCCAAGAGAAGTAGCAGGTGCAAATGTTGGGAGTCTAGGTAATGAAGAATGGCTGAGGTAATGAAGAATGGCTGAAGTGTTTGGTACAAGTAGTGGGGGTTGTCTAGGGAGCGTCTCTGAAGTTAGAGAAGCAGGGTTCTGGGTCATAGAGCTCTGGTGTGCAACTCAGAAATTTGGATTTCATCCTGTGGTGCAAAGGTTTGACGGTACAGGTGACATATGCAGATACCAAGTTTTGAAAGGTCACTCTAAGCCTTGGGGAGTGAGGCTGGAGGCAGATAGGCCAGTGTGGAGGCAGTTGCAGAAACCAAGAGGGGATCAAGGTCTGGATATACATTTTGGAGCCTTCACCTTATAGGCTGTGCCTCAAACCAAGTCAGCATACAGGTTTGTCCTGAAGATGCCAAATTGTGAGAGAGAACATTAGTAAGGTGTTTTTCTGCCTTCTCTTTCCCTTATGAAGGGGAGAAGCTATGAAATGTCCTTTAGGAAACACACCACCAGATATTTAGGTATATTACAGAGCCCATAGTGATAATTGGGTACAATAGAACCGGCTTGCAAACATAAACGACCAAAGGAACAGAATGGAGAGCTCAGAAAGAATGGGTTGACAGTTTATGGATAGTCCAGCAGGCTGGGGTGGGAGGGGAAGGGTCGGAGGGGAGTTTTTCTGGAGCTGCTTCTCACACTTCCCCTGGGGAGCATGCTGGAGAGAACAACCAGCACCCGCTTCTGCTCCCTGAGCGAAGGATAAAGGACTGGCTAATATGATTCCAGGGGAGCTATCCCTTAGGCCAGATTTTCATAGTGGGTAGTTCCTTGGCTCAGGAGAAAACTCCCTTCCGGTTGTCCTCCTTGGGCTGAGGCCAGCTGCCCAGCCTTCATGCTTTTTTACTCTCTTGGCCCCACCTGGGCACAGCACCAGGTCTTTCACCTTCAACGTAAAGATCATAAATTATTGCCCCTTCCCTAGTGAGCTGGGACCTTACAACAAGTTAAAAACATTCAAATTTTAGACTCCCATGATGAACTCAAAGAATTAATAAACATATACTCATCTTCTAATAACCAAACCCAGCTTATCTACACACACACACACACACACACACACACACACACACACACACGAGGAGAGACACACACCGATTCAAATGTTCCTTGGAGCTTTGTATTTTTAAAATGGCTTTAAAAATTCGAATGCCACCTGGTTGATTCCTTTATTTTTTTAATTTAAAAAAATTTTTAATTGATTTCAGAGAGGAAGAGAGAGGGAGTGAGAGACAGAAACATCAATGATGAGAGAGAATCATAGATTGGCTTCTCTTGCATGCCCCTTACTGGGGATCGAGCCCGCAACCTGGGCATGTGCCCTGACCTGGAATCAAACCTGGGACCTCCTGGTTCATAGGTCAATGCCTAACCACTGAGCTATGCTGGCCAGGCTGATTCCTTTACTTTAAAAAATATTTAATTTTATATAGCTTATACTTTTATTTGTTATTTTAAATTTATTGATTTAAAAATTATAGTTGACATCAGTATTATATTAGTTTCAGGTGTACAGCATAGTGATTTGACATTTATATGCCTTACAAAGTGATCACCACAATAAACCTAGTAACCATCTGTCACCATACAAAATTATTAGAATATTACTGACTATATTCCCTATGCTGTACATTACATTCCTATGATTTATTTTATAATTGGAAATTTCTACCTCTTACTTCCATTCATCCTTTTTGCCCATTCACTTCACCCACACCTCTCTGGTAACCATCAGTTTGTTCTCTGTATCCATGAGTCCATTTCTGCTTTATTCATTTGTTTGGTTTTTTAGATTCCACACATAAGTAAACGCATATGGTATTTGTCTTTCTCTGTCCAACTTGTTTGACTTAGCATAATATTCTCTGGACCCATCCATGTTGTTGCAAATGGCAAGATTTTATTCTTTTTGTGGCTGAGTAATATTCCATTGTATACACGTACCACATCTTCTTTATCTATTGATGGACACCTAGTTCTATTTTTTATGTTTTTTTGAGGAATCTTCATCCTGTTTCCATAGTGACAACACCAATTTACAATCCTGCCAACAGTGCATGAAGGTTCCCCTTTTCTCCATATCCTCGCCAACACTTATTATTTGTTGACTTTTTGATAATAGCCGTTCTGACTGGTCTGAGGTGATATCTCATTGTGGTTTTGATTTGCATTTCCCTGATGATTAATGATGTTGTGAATCTTTTCATGTGTCTATTGGCCATCTGTATGTCCATTTTGGAGAAGTGTCTATTCAGTCCTCTACCCATTTTTTAACTGGATTGCTTATTTTTGATATTGAGTTGTATAAGTCCTTTATATATTTTGGTTATTAGCTCCTTATTGGATATATCATTTGCAAATATGTCCTCCCATTTAGTAGGTTGCCTTTTTGTCTTGTTGATTGTTTTCTCTGCTGTGCAAAAGCTTTTTAGTTTGATGTAGTCCATTTGTTTATTTTGGTTATTGTTACCTTTGCTTGAGGAGTCATATACAAGAAAATATTGCTAAGACAACCCAGCTGGCGTGGCTCAGTGGTTGAGTGTCAACCTATGAACCAGGAGGTCCCAGTCAGGGCACATGCCTGGATTGTGGGCTCTGCCCCTGGTGAGGGTGTGCAGGAGGCAGCCGATCAATGATTCTCTCTCTTCATTTATGTTTCTATCTCCCTCTCCTGCTGCCTTCCTCTCTGAAACAAAGAAAAGTTTATTAAAAAAATATTGCTAAGACTAATGTCGAAAAGGTTATTGCCTGTGTTTTCTTCCATGAGTTTTATGGTTTCAGGTCTTATATTTAAGTGTTTAATTCATTTTGAGTTTATTTTTACATATGGTGTAAGAAAGTGGTCTAGTTTCATTTTTTTTGTATGTGTCTGTCTAGTTTTAGTTGATTTCTTTCTTGATTGTGTTTATCAACTTGCTAATATATTTTATAAATTTAATGTGTTGAGTTTTTGCTTTAACTACATCTGATCAATACTTTAAAAATCTTTTATCTATTTATTGAGGAGTATAGAATTTTTTAAAAATTAGTGTAACACATAGCTTTCCATATGTGTAAGAATTTGGCCTCAGAATAATTCCAATAGAGAGTATACCATAGACATCAGTATCCTGTGACCACTGGGCAGCCTGGAAGTCGCTTAGCTATTTCTATGGGCATGAAAAACATGTGAGGGCTCCATGCATTGAAGATGTACAGTAACTGTGTGTCACAGAACTTCCCAGAAGACACATTCGCAGTAAGAAAACCGAGCACACAGAAGGAAGGGCAAGAGGTGAAAGTGGACATTTCTTTCTAACATCTCCCAAGTTTAAGAGGCAAAATTTCTCATAAACTTGTAGATATCTATTTTTGCTTCTCTAAATTTTTGAAAAAATTTTAAATCTTTAATTGTATTTATTCTGAAAATAGTAAAGATTGGATAGCAGAGAACCTGGGGTAAATTGTACTATTGTACCATCAAAACACCCAAAAAGAACTAGCCAGCGAGAAGCAAACTCATTGGGAGAAGCAAACTCAAGGGATACAGTGTTTTGAAAAGAGTAGACAGATCTGTTTTCCTTCCTTTTCCCTGTAAATCAAGTTCACTGCAGCCATATATATCATCTATGGCCCTGGGGAAGATGTGGGGAGAAGATGAGTCAAGAGGAATGATGTAGGGAGAAGCCCTTGCCAGCAAGAAGGGAGGTGAAGGAAAGCCCCCAGGTTAAAAGAGTAGGTGGGAGAGAGAAGGGGGCAGATGGAAGGACAGCAGAGGCCACACTTGATGTTCTGGTTCCCTGCTGCAAGCCATAATTCTTGGGGTGGGAGTTAAGATGATATGAAAACGGAAGCCATGTGGGCTTGTGTTCTGGTCTTTGGTGGGAATTCTGGAAGGAGACTGCTATGCAGAGTGGCTCCAGGTCAACATGCTGCAGCGGAGTAGATGGGCCAACCAGACATTTAAGCATCAGGACATGGAAGGAGTTAATGTAAGGTGTCACCTACCGTGGGAAGGGTGAAAAGAGAGCTGTGTGGGTGTCCATTGGGCTGACCATGGGTCTTGGTGGAAGAGGTTATAAGGGAACGGCTTCAACCAGAAGGGCAGAGGGGTCATGACCTCATTTCTTAATAGTACAGACAGTCCCTGCAGATCTTAGAAATCACCTCTTTCTGGCTTCCTAGGTGAGACATGAGAGTTCCGTAGTGCTACTGAGAGCTGAGGAATGGCCAATTCAGCCAGGGAGGGCCTTTGGCCGCTGAGCAACAGAGTGTTCTCACTGGTGTGCACCAGGGCCCAGGTGCTCATTCACACCAGCCACCTGACCTCAGAGGCCACTGAGGCCTCCGAGAGCTGTTTTAACACCAACATAAGACAGTGTGACTGTGCATTCAAGATATACCCAGCTGCTACTCAGCAGATGGAGGCTTGTGAGGAAGTTTGAATGGGCCCATGGAAATGCAGGAGCCACATTTTTTTTGTACAGTTATGTAGTACAGTTTGGGTTTTTGACTAATTGCAGGAGGAAAACCATTCATTTATTGACAGGTGTTCACTTGCAATTATTCAAGCCAGAGATTGGGCAGCAATTGGTGGCTGGTGCTAACATCCAGGCGTGGATAGATGTAAGCAGAGTCTTCTGAGCCTTCATGCTGGCTGCCTCTGAGACACCTACAGCCAGTTGAGGACCAGTGGGGAGCTGTGCTACCTCCACTTCAGGGATTTTAGCTATCTTCCCAGATTGTAGACCCTGAAGGTGGTTAAACTGAAGGACAGCTTTTACTCCAATGATATATTTGGGGGTTTTGTTGCCCATG